GGACTGTCCATTGTGAAATGGGTGCCGAAATTTTGTGATGGAGATTTTTGTTGGTAGCTACCACTTCTTCCATTTCTCTGTAAACTCCATTGTGCTACAGATTGGGTCTTAGCACAGGTCTGTGAAAAGCTACTGAGAAGGAAAAAAATGGATAAAAATTGAAGGCTAACAACATTTTAAATGAGAGGCAAGATAAAGCAGGGGATAGAAAGCTTGGAATCAGAAAGACCTGGTTCAAGTCCTTTGCTGTACAAAGGATTTGACATATACTGGATTTGTGACCCTGGGCAAGTTACTTAACCTTTCATGCTGTGAACAACTCTTTGAAACCACAAGCTGCAGAACAATCATTAATCTGCCTTGGTAGAGGGAATTTCCTCATGTTGGGAATTTCATACCAGTAAATTAACAGTTGGAGGGAGGGAGAGAAGAAGAGAGGAAAAAAAAGAAATAAAACTGAAAGAAATAAAAATATAATTGTTAGGTCTTATAGAAATGATATGCAAGTATGGCCCAAGGAAAATCCTATTGATACTAAAATTAATTCAATAATAAATTTAAGAACAACACTCTGTAACAGGGCATTCTTGATAGCTAAGGTGTTCACTTCTGGGAACCACAGTTTAAGAGAGATATTGGTAAGCTAGATAGTATATATATAATAATAGCAATTATTATTAAAATAAGTGTAATATATATAAGTATGTATAATATATAATAATAAATACAGTATAATATATGATATATAATAGTATAATATAAAAATTAAAAATAATATTAGCTAGCATTTATGTAGGACTTTAAGGTTTGTGATGTACTTTACAAATATGATCTCATTTTGTCCTTACCACGACCTTGAGAGAAAGGTACTATTATTATTCCTCATTTTACACATGAGGAAACTGAGGCACAGATTAAGTGACTTGCCCAAGGTCACACAGCTAGTAAGTCTCTGAGACTAGATTCGAAATCTCATCTGCCTAACTCAGATTCCAGTGTTCAATCCATTGTGCCACATAGCTGCCAAAAAGAGGGAACCCATCAACTCTCTGGACAGGCCGTCCTACTTTTGGATAGCTATAATGGTTAGGACATCAATCCAAAATATTTCTCTTTGCAAATTTCTCCCATTACTCCCAACTCTGTTCTCTGGATACAAAGTGAATAATGCCTACTCTATGTGATAGTCCTTCAGATATTTGAAGATTGCTACCATGATTTCTAAGAAGCTTTTTTTCTCTGGGCTAAGCATCCCCAATTCCTTCAGTCTATCCTCATATTACATAGACTCAAAGGCCCTATGGTGTCCTAGTTGCTCTTTCTTGGCATCTATGTAGTATAGTGATTTGAGCTCTTGACCAGGAGACCTGAATTAAAATAATAGCAAACTAAAAGCACCTCCTTTACAGGGTGGCTGTTGAGGATCAGATGAGATATTTGTAAAGTACTTTGCAAACCTTGAAAGAAAATAACTATCATTATTTTGGGGGGTCTTTAAGCAGAGGGTGGATGACCACGTGTCAAGTACATTCTGAAAATACATTTTGGGTTTGGGTTGGATTAGACAGCCATGGTTCTCTTCCATCTGTAAATTCTCTGAGTCTGTGATTCTGCTATGCTTGTAGAGTGCTCAGTCTGACAAGTACTACCAGCTTAGCAAATATGTATTAGGACCCTGGCATTAAGTGCCAGGTCCTGTAGGCATGGGGTGTACAAAGGCGAAAATGAAGTAGTCCTTGCCTTGGAGTTTACATTCTATTGAGGGCAGCATGGTGGCGGGGATACACATAAAAAATATCCTAAAAGACTAAGCAGATTATGGAATTTGTCGGTCTAAAAATAAGCCCCACCAAGCTTAGAAAGGCTCATTACCAGGTAATTGGTCAAAAAGTGATGAATTATCTTTTGGCCACAGTTTATTAAACTATCTACTGTGGAGGGGTTGCGATCTTCTTGGATAGTAAAGGAAATACTGGTGAAGTCATGGATCTCTGGAGTACTAAAATAAATATAATGAAAACAGCAATGAACTTAGGGTTCTGTTTCCGTGCCAAGTTTCTTTAAATGATTATCCTGAGCAAGACCTTAATAGGCATGTAAGTTGAAGAAATTATTTTTTGTTTAACCCACCTACAGGGAAGGAAACACTCCTTTCTTTTAGGCAGAGGTTCCTAACCTGGGGTCCATGGACCCCCTCAAAGACTCTGTTGGTAAATTTTAGTAGGCCTGTAAATGTGGCTAGGTATGCATGTGTGTGTATATACACATGCATACATATTTTGTTTTATTTTATTCAATGTAGTTTATTTCCTTTGTAATTTTATAAACTAGGTATCCCAAAAACTCTTAGTACAGTTTTAAGCTATTAAAGTTTCATTTCATTGGGACAATCTATATTTTGTTATATACATTTGAAATCATTTTTTTGAGGAGTCCATAAGTTTCAACAGACTGCCAAAGGGGTTTATGACACACAAAAAGGCTAAGTACCCCTACCTTAGGGGAGGTCCTATTTGGGATACTAGAAATGAGATTATTACAAAAACTTGTTTTATTTGTTTTCATGATGTTGTATTAGTGAGAAGCAGCATGGTGTGGTGCAAAGACCTAGACCTGGAAGTCTTGAAGTTCAAATACCAACTTCACTACTTATAAACCATGTGATTTTGGGCAAGTCACTAGGATTCAGAACCTGGTTTTCCTCATCTGTAAAATAGGGATAATGTAGTTACACTACCTACCATACCAGGCTGTTGGGAGGAAAGCCTTTTGTTTACCTTAAAGCCCTATGAAAATCAGAGTTGTATTATGGAGCCTATTGCTTCACATTCTTTCTCAAAACCATTCTTGCCCATATTCTCTAATGTAAAGACAAAAACAATAAAACATGGGTTGATTCCATTTTTTCCTGGGTCTTGTCTATATTTAATCAATTCAGGCCATGATAGAGACATCCTAGTAGAAACAAAAGACATATAAAATGTTAGTTTGTAGAAGTAGTTTAAGCAGACGTATATTTGTCCAAGAGGCAGAAAAAGTAAACACTGAACTAGCTGACAGTCAGTATAGCCATGTGTTTCCTCTAGCTTCTTATCAAAATTTAACCTCTAATTCAAAGAATCTTTTCCTTCTTGTATGGATTTTTTTCTATTTACTGTAATCCAGCCAAGTGGGTATCATTACATTAAAAAAATCCTATGACAGATAACCAATTTTTCTTCCAAATGCTGTGCATTTCAAGGTTTAATGAACACAGTGCATCAGACCTATGTCTGGGTTTACATTCTGAATTGCATACATTAAGTAAAACAATGCCAATCTTTCATTCTCTGCCCTCTCACTGCCCAATCATACATACATGTTTGCCTCTAAGTTAAAAACCTCTAGCATTCAAAGCTATAAATCCTTTCATATAGTTATGCATTTCTTAATCTTTTTAATTCTTCAGTAAACTCATTTGATCTACAGTCGAGTACTCATTCCAGAATGAGGTTTAATCCTTTACGCTACTCAGGCAGTTGGCAAGCTCAATCACAAAGGCCTTCATCATTTGAATTCCTCCTCTGAGACAATCATTATCCTCTCTTAAACACAGCCTCATACATTTGGTAAACTACGTGAAGGTCTAATCTGCCCTGTTAGCATGCACCAGCTTCTCTGCTTTAAACCACAAGACAATAATTGGAAATTCCAATTCATGTTCTTCATCTTGCCAAAAAAATTGCAATAAAAGCCAACAATGCAGTCTCTGAAAGACTGCATCCCAGGATGCTCAATCCATTCTTTTCAGGCTAATTGCCACAGTTAAATCAATAAAGTGGCCGTCCGCTTGGATGGCCAGAGCGGCAAAAATAAATGGATCAGCTGTGACTTATCCTGCTCACTTAGTGCATTTGCACAAAATCTAAGTGGCCCTTTGGGTAGCAAGCTTAGTGGCCAATTCAGTGTATTAGAAAGAGTGGCTGGGCTGGAAGTCAGACCTGGGCTCCAATCCCACTTCTGTCATTAACTAGGTGTGTGTGACAGTGGTCACCGCTCTGTGCCTCAGTTTCCTAATCCATAAATGTGCTTCTGTTTCCTAATCCATAAATGTCAAGTGAAAAAACATTTGTAAAGTGCTTAGTTACAGTACCCAGAACATAGTAGGAGTTATATAAATGCTTATTCTCTTTCCTTCCTCTTCAGTGATATTATTTATGTGATCCTTTCTAGATCTGAAATTCTAGGTACTCAATAGTCTCTCCAGGGTCTATCCAATTCAACAAGTATTTACAAAATGCCTACTAAACACTTAGGGATACAAACAAAAAGAGAGACAATAGTCCCTGCTCTCAGGAAGCTTATATTTTACTGGAATGTCTTAAAGAACCCTGAGGAAAAGATGTCATCTGGGAAATGAATGAGGGGAACAGAGGATAGGCTGGTCACATGGCAAGGACTAGGGATGACAGATAGACAGCTAGAAGGTTTCAGTGGTATTCTCTGGATGTCAGGAGAGAGTGAGAAAGGTCTCCAGTACAGTAGGTAGACTTCCTGTGTCAAACTCATGAGATAACATAGACAAGAGTCACACAGAATAGACAGTGTCTTTATTTATCACGGGGAGTCATTTAAGACAGTGAGAAAATCAGAGTCGAACAGAGACAGACCAGGGCCTCTCTCTTTGGAATCCTGAAATAGTCACCCCTGGGAGGCAGCATGCTTTTGACATCCAGGCTGCTTTTAGAGTGCAGGAGGTATAGGTTCTACCTTCCTCTCTCCCCAGATCACCACTCCCCACAGAGTCTAAGTGGAACAACTGAACCGCTGAGCAGCTGCAATTGGGGTGGTACTCAGGGTCATTAGCAACTTGGGTCTGAATCCAACACTTATAAAGAGGAAGGGTTTACTGAGTACATGTGTATGTATCAGGAGCGTTGAAGTTAAAGGTAGATAAAAATTATATTAAAATGCCATAAGCAAATACTTTTTAAAAGCCATAGCCACTACTATTTACTTACAGGAGGTCCCGGTGGTCCTGGTTTTCCAGGGGGTCCTGTTTTGCCTCGCCTTCCCTTTAAACAAAAAAGACAAATAGAAATCACAAATGTTACCATTCTGGTTTGTTTAAGATAAGAAAATTTTTCAAACACATTTGGTGATAGCATAAGTTAACCAAGATCAAAATCTTTCTAAATCCACACAACTCTGTATCACTGATTATACCATCAATTAGTTCTAAATGCCACAAGCTAGTTCTTCATAATAATGCTAAGCAATATCTTTGCATCATATTAATTTTTATTGGTAGGCTCCACCCTCTCTGCTGTTGCTTAAAGGTATCTGTAAGATGACCTAATAATAAATTCCATTATATCTGATAGTGCTACCATTTGGAACTCGACAGTAACTGTATTGATCATCTTAACCCATTAAATAATGACAGTATATTAACCAACTTTTTTAAAATCTCAGATTATTTTGCTATTTCATTTGTGAGCTGAAATGTCTACTCTTTATATGTTGGTTTTTTACTTCCTTTTTTAAAATTTATTTTATTTTCAATTTATGGAACAAAACAAGCATTCCTATAACACAGCACAATGAAAAATGATGATTCCACATGAAACTGCAAATGTACCATGTACAACTTGCTATTTTGTCCAAATATGCCATAAATTTATCATGAAAATTTCTTTTTTTCCCCTTTTTAAAGTTATCTGTCAACTGACTTGGTTCACAGAGCCAGGAAGCCATGAAATTTCAAAGTTGAAAGGAACCTTATGGGCTATGGACCATCCATCCTATGCCTCTCAAAGAAGCTTTACTACAACAGATAACTCGTTCCTTCTGTGGTCTGACAAAAGCAAAGTATTACAGGGCTAAAATCTTATTCTTATAATCCATGCTTCTTAATCAAGCCCAAGATCATCTTCTTTTTGGCTGTCCATAAAACATGGTTGACTCATTTTGATCTTGCAATCCACTAAAACTACAAGATCTTCTTTAGGCAAAATGCTTTTAAACCTCCTCCATCTTGCATTGGTGAAGTAGATTTCTGGAACCCATGTGTAAGACAAAAATGTGAAAATTTTCCTCTATCAAATTTCATCTTATTAGAGTCAAACCAGAGATAAGGTCTATCGTTTTGGATATTTAATCATAGTGGACAGAGTGCTGGGCCTCATGATGTCTGACTCACTTTCTTCAATTGTACAGTGAGGATAATAATAGCACCTATATCCCAGGGTCATGAGGATCAAATGTGATGATATTTGTAGAGTGCTTAGAACAGTTCCTGAAATACAGTAGGTGGTATATAAATGCTTATTCCCCACTAATCAAAACATGAACTGAGTTTGACAGTACATATACCATCTCCTACTTTTGCAGAGAAGGTTGGGAAGTCTTGCTACAGTTTAACAGTCTAAGGAAAGACATTCTATGCTGCTTAGAAAAGTGAAGATATGAAGTTAGGACTTTGATAAGAGATTGGTTTTCTTGTCATCCAGAGGGCTGGACCTCAAAGCAAAAAAGACCTGAGTTCAACTCTGACCTCAGATACTATGTGTATGACCTTAAGCAAGTTACTTAACCCCTGCTCATTTTCCTCTTCTCTAAAATGAAGTTAATAATAGCACCTATATCCCAGGATGGTTGTGAGGATGAAATGAAATAATAAATGTAAAGTTTTTAGAAACCTTAAAGCACTATAGAAATGCTAGCTATTATTATTGTTATTCCTGGCTCATGACTACAGTGGTTATTTTATGCTGTTTCAATATGTAGAGGGAGAAGATTAGCTATGGTGTCATATATTCTTCCTCATATACATCTAGGCCTAGGAGCCATTCTGGTGGGCAGAAGATATAAACAAGCATTAGGATGAGCACACATTTCAATATTAGGAATCCTTAAAACTAGACCCACAAATAAAATCCATTATGGTATCTGAGGTTGCACATTTCCTAAAACTCAATATATTGGTTCTTTTTGTAAACAAAAAGCAATTAGTCCCCTGTGGAGCCTAATCAATGTTAAAACTTTTTTAGCCCAAGAAAATACTATAATTTATTAATTCACAAACACACAAAGAGAGGTGAAATCAATGACAACTGAAGGTGTGATTTACTCGTCCTGCAGGGAGGAAGGAACTCTCTGATTTTGTTAAGTTCAAATCAAAAGTTCAACTTCTATTTATCTTTTCTCCAAAGCAGGCATCTACACTGATTTGGGAGGAAAGGGGTAAAAATCAGGCAGATCATTCATCTAATTTTGCCATAGTGGTCATTTTTAAAATTAATCAAATGTCAGAGTGACCGTGGTCCACGTTTCCACAAGACATAGATAAATAAAGCATTCACAAGTCAGCATTTGCACTACCATGCGTCTGATTCAAATGATGCATATCATTGTCCTGAATTACATAATCATGTAAGTCCCTTTTACGAATAGTGTGTAATGATGTGTGTGCGCGTGTGTTTATGTGTGTTTTCTTACTCTCCTACTTGTCCCACTCTCAGGGTTTTCTGTAATTTCCCAAGACAAGCTTCCTCTCCTCACATTCCCCTTCTGTTCATACCCTCCACCCCCACCCTCCAGAAAGAATAGCACAGAAACCTCATGGTACTCTGGGGACAACTTCTTCCCCTCTGTCTCCTGGGGTTACACCTCTTCCTCTGAGGCGGGGTGTTCCCCTACTCTCCAACTCAGGTGTACCGATTGTTAGTTATGACTGCATGTACTTATCTTCAAAAGTAAATTGTCATTCCTGGGCATTTAAACATTGCCATCAAAGTGGATTCAAATTGTTGAAATAATGTCCATTTTGTAGGATTTTTTTGGTTTTATTTGATGTACTGTACATAATATGAAAATGTTTATTTGATCTTTATGTGTGAAATTAGAGGCAGCTTCTGATTTACGAACAAGCTGTGTTCCCAAAGGTAATTTGTATGTTGGCTGTTTGACACTTGGATGCCTTTTCTCTTAGAAACAATGTTATTAGGAATCCAGGACAGCATCAAATCCCATTTAATCGGTACTGTGTCTGAAGTATAGGACTGCATTAACAGTATTCACTGTGAAGCAAACTATCACTTTAAATAGTGTCCCTATGGGAAAATGTGTTCATATTTCCAGCGTTGGCTGTAACACATCTCCAACGGCAGCTTTCCAGGGGCTTGGAGGATTTCCTGTCATTTTACCCCTAGTCAAAGACTGTATGTGACCTTCCCTCGCTTCAAACATCTGGCGATACATCTCACGGCTTCAGGCAGAGGTTCCATTGGTAGGGGGAGAAGAAAGTAGGATGGAGGAAGGTGCTGGGTTGGGGATAGGGAAGAACTGTGAAGTGATGGGGCAATATGTTTCTCCACACCCTTTCTTTTTGTCACACCCTGTTTTTTCTAAAGTCTCTAAAGCTTTGCTATTTTTCTTATATTTTCCCTACTTTCCTTCAAAGCACAGTTCAGGAGCAACTTACTACATGAGGCTTTTCCTAATCAGGCCAGTCATTAGCCAACTACTACCTATGAATGTACGCTCGCTCGCTCTCTCTCTCTCTCTTTCTCTCTCTCTCTCTCTCTCTCTCTCTCTCTCTCTCTCTCTTTCTGTCTGTCTGTCTCTCTCTCTCTCTCTTTCTGTCTCTCTCTCTCTCTCTCTCTCTCTTTCTGTCTCTCTCTCTCTCTCTCTTTCTGTCTCTCTCTCTCTCTCTCTCTCTCTCTCTCTCTCTCTCTCTCTCTCTCTTTCTGTCTCTCTCTCCGTCTCTCTCTCTGTCTCTCTCCCCCGTCTCTCTCTTTCTGTCTCTCTCTGTCTCTCTCTCTCCCTCTGTCTCTCTCTCTGTCTCTCTGTCTCTCTCCCTCTGTCTGCATTATACTTTGAATTTATTGACTTGTGTACATCTTGTATACCTTCAATAGCATGACCAAGTTCTATAAAACCCGTCACACTCTGGCTTGAGTTGCTGTCCCCTTTACATTCACTCTATGTTCCTGCCAGACTGCCCCTGCTGCTCATGCATGACATTCCATTTCCTGCCTCTGTACATTTGCATAAGCTGTTTCTCATGCCTAGAATATGGTTCCTCCTCTACTTTGCTTTATAAAAACCCTCACTTCTTTTAAATCAAAGCCTAAGTGCCACCTCCTATTGGAAAACTATTAGATCATCCCTGCCTGCCCCCCCAGCTACTAGTTCCTTCCTCACACGAACAAAAAAAAAAGTCTTTGTATCTACTTTGCATATATTTTGTATATGCTAATACAAGATCTGCTAATAGCATGTAAGCACCTTGAGGGCAGGGGCTATTATTGACTTAGGGCAGGTTTCATTTTTGTCCTAGTACTCATGTTGCTTGATATATTGTCTAGCACTAACCTGAATTGAATTCCCTTTGGAATATCAGCATTGGCTGCTTCTGGCCAGAGTTTCTTTCCTTCCCTGCCCCATGGTGGAACAGAATGAATTCTCACAGCTACATACTCCCATCTTTGAAGTTAGAATGCAGACTTTGGGGAATATCCTAACGTTGTTTGTTTGTTTGTTTAGTAAAAATAGGAAGCAGATAGTGGCTAAAAAGGTTGTGTTCTAACCCTGCCTTTCCTCTCTCTTTTAAAAATATATATATTTTTTCCAATTACATGTAAAAACAATTTTTAACATTTGTTTTTAGACTTTTGAGTTCTAAATTCTCTTCCTCCTTCCCTCAGTCCCCTGCCCCCTCATTTAGAAGGCAAGAAATTTGATATAGGTTATACATGTGCAATAATGTAAAACATATTTCCATATTAGTCATGTCATGAAATAAAACACAGGTGAAAAGAAAACAAGAAAAATAAAGTAAAAAGTGTGCTTGATCTGCATTTAAATTCCATCAGCTCTTTCTTTAGAAGAGGGCAGCATTTTTCATCATAAGTCCTTTGAAATTTTCTTATTGTATTACTTAGAATAGCTAAGTCGTTCACAGTTGATTATCATATAATATTGCTGTTAATGTTCTCCTGGTTCTGCTCATTTCACTTTGTATCAGTTCATGTAAGTCTTTTCAGGTTTTTCTGAAATGATTCTGCTCATC